CAACAGCATCCCTCACACCAGTTTCAGTTCACTTCCACTCTTCCGCTCAGAGCACGGAATGATGTCCTTCGGTCCTTCCCTGACGCTGTTGTGGAGGTCTGGAATCAGCTCCCGCAGTGTGTTCTACTGAACCAGAAGAAGGAAAGGACTGCAGACGTTCAAAGAGAAGGTCAACGCCCACCTGCGCCTTACCCGCTGGGAGTGAGCAACGGACAGACTATGAATCAAAGAAAAAAGCTTTAACTCTGCTCCCTCCTCCATTCACTTCTTTGACTCTCTGATATTGTGCATACTTTTCCCCGTAATCCCCAGTTATCTACACCCCCCCCCCCCCCCGTGTGTTTTCTGTAATCTTTTGTTTCTGTGGAGCGCTTGGGTTGCAACGAAGCCGAGACCCTATGGTCGGAAAAGTTACCTCTGCCTCTCCCCTACTCCTGCCATTCCGTATGTCTCATCGCTGCCTTGCTGCTTTGTGCCGTCAAATGGTGTGTGTTTTTTTTTGTAAAAAAATGTCATAGCAGCCTTAGGTCGATATACGCGCGCGATGCGAGCATCTCGAAAGTAAATGAGAAAATTGGAACCCTATGGCGGACACGAAAGTCTCTAATACTTGCCAGCCGAGTACTGTTTTTCAAGGCACCTATCATGCCGGACCTCCTGTATGGGTCCGTTGCGTTCAGCCAAGGCTTTACTCAGGTACAGACCGATCGGCTCCAAGTAGCACAAAACCGTAGGGCAAGAGCAGTGGCTGCGATCGATTATGCAGTTGAATCGATTCATGAATCCATTCACATGCATTCAAGTCCTTCGATTTTCATGTCATGAGCCCTGGAATCGATTCGGAATCCATTCACCCTATTCACATGGGGTGATGTGAATAGTGCGAATCGATTCATGAATCGATTCGTGCGCATAGTCGAATGCACTCAGTGTATAGCCGGCCAGGGTTCTCCCATGGCAGTGGTCTCCTGAAACACATGGAGATATTCAGGATCGAAGAAGTGCATCGTCAGAAGGTCCTGGTCTTCGTCTGGCGGTGCATACACCCCTTTGCTAGTCCATCCCTCCAGGATCTCTTCATACGCTGCGCGGAGCGCAGGGCACGCCTGGATCTCGCCCTGGGGCTCCGTCCGCCTGCTACACGAACCGCGCCAGGTAGCGTCCTCTGGAACGTCCTACCGGATGTAATCAGAGTACTGTCGTCTCTCAGCAGTTTCAAAGCTGCCGTCGAAACGTATACCCTCTGATCCCACAGATGTTTAGTAGTTAGCACTCAGTCTTAGCGGTGTCTTCGGCGGGTTACAGAATTGTCATTCGCTGGCTTTTCTAGTTTTGACAACACTTCGCTCTTCATTGAGATATCTCCCATTCTCTCCTCTTTCTCATTATTTTCTCACCAGCGCTCCTTCCCTGTAACGCACAATAACATATTGGCTGCCTTGTTATTGAGCATTTATGCTCTTTTGGATTTGCGAATTCAAATAAAATATAAAACAACAACAACATGAAAATCAAGGAACAATGAGTACATGCATGCATTCTTGAACGGTGTGTGATGCGAATAGAGTCACAGACACAAACATACTGATGTACATGTAGGTACTACTACTACTACTAACCTGTCAGCTGCGAGAAAGAGAGACTTAACGCATTCAACCAACACAAGCTTCTCTTCTTCCGCTAGCTTCCGAGGCAGGACACCTGCGGTGACAAGAAGACAGTTGGCGCGCATGCAACCGACACACACCCAATGCAACTCTCAGGCGTAGCAGAAGCACTCGGATGCTACGCTATTATAATATCAGTTGAGATGCTTTGGCAGTGTCGTAGCACAGCTATGCATTACATAGCAACTCACACTGTAAGCATAGCGCTCATAAGCTGTTCCGCTGACTCACCGCCATGACATCATTCGTATAACCTCTATAGTCCTATTACATCATTCACATAACCTCTATAGTCCTATTACATCATTCACATAACCTCTATAGTCCTATTACATCATTCGTATAACCTCTACAGTCCTATTACATCATTCGTATAACCTCTATAGTCCTATGACATCATTCGTATAACCTCTATAGTCCTATTATGCATATCAACAGACTTTGCTCTGGTGATGAGCAATACCGTCTCCAACAAATATCCAGTCAAACCGAAAAGACCGAAGCCATATTTGCTGTAAACATGTAGACTGCAGCCAGAGTTCGTGCATGTACAAGTTCTGTAAGAAGCTTTGCAGCAACATCTCATTCCTCTAGCATGTGTAGCTCCACCTCTGGGTGCAAGAATACAAGAAGAAGAAAAAACATTGAGCAGCAGAGCTTTGTCTACCGCTACCACTCGGTGATGTACTCTTACCGACGACCATCGCAAGAAAACGTTCTCAGAATAAACCAACTGTTCCTAATGATGCTAATGTGTGCATAATTATACATGTACACAATGACAGCGCACTTTATTCATAGCTGTGCTGAGCACAATGTTGCAGTTAGCTGCAGTTGACACAACTATCCTGATCTAAGTTCCTACTGCAGGACAACGCTGAGACGTACGAGACAAGGACATATCTTCCTTTGTTGACAGAAACATCACCAACGTTGTGTGGAGATCGTGGAATACCTTGGGCCGCAAAGCCCCGGTGAACGCCTTTGCTGCTGCATGGATGCATTTTACGCAGCCAATGAGAACACCTTCATCCAACCTGCATATTCAGCCAGTGCACACACACACACACACACACACACACACACACAAATACTTGTACTACGTGTACTTGTTGCTCACTGCTAAAACTGGTCATGTGGGTCTCCCCGGGGAGAGATTCAATAGGATACACATACACGCACACACACCACACACACACACGCGCGCGTGCACGAGAATAAATGTTTGATTCGTTCCCATTCAGAATATTTGCTCCACTCCTCCACAAAAAAATTCATTTGATGGATCAAACAAAACCTGTGTTATAATTAATTTTCATGATTATTAAAAATAGAAGAAATCACATGGAAACGAGTTATGAAGCAACTATCCACGACTGTATTAAGATAATAAGCAGTCAGAAAGTGCGATAACAGCGCACAAAACTGACAGGCTACTGAAACATTCAATGACCTAGGTCTCATGTCTGACTGCTTATTATCTTGTTGCAGTCGTGGATAGTTGCTTCATAACTCGTTTCCATGTGATTTCTTCTATTTTAAGTATATTAACTGGCTCAGCATCCGAGTTATAATTTCATGGTTTCTATTTGTGTGCCATGGTTGTGAGGTAGAAATTCATTCTCAACTTTTCAGCTGTACAGTGCTTTGAATATTTCCTGAGAGCTGGGCATTGAACTTGCAAACGCATACTGTACACGCATACCTGGGTTCTTTCAGCTTTTTCACAACAGGAAACAAGCAGTACTCGACTAGCTGCGGCGTTGGTGGCCAGGTTCTCGAGTGCAGCAAATTTTCCAGATTGGACAAAGTCGACTCAAATGCATGCTCACTAACTGCCACACACGCGGGACGAAGTGCATGGAACGCAGCTTCCTCCTGCTCCCTCCTGGACATGACGTCTGCCACAAGAAAAATTACAGCGCCTTTATGAACCGCAACTAACTAGGCATCTCTCATATTGCTATCACCAAGAGTCCATAAACTGCTCTTGCTATATCACAGAATGCAAACAATTATCTACATGTTTCACGCTTTTTGAATGGAGTTTCGAAAGTGACGAAAAATCCTGACAAATCACTCGGGGTTGACGCCGCGAAATGTGGTCAAAAGGAGCTGGGCCGCATGCATGCGCTGGCGCATGGCGCATGGGGCTGTCGCCATGTAGATCTACGCAGTGCACTAGTGCGCAGTGTCCATCATCATGATCATGGTCCACAGTCTCACGGCTGTTACATGCATGCAGAATCCTGCCACTTCGATCCGGGAACGAGAACTCGGCCGTTGAGTGATTTTCGGGGATTTCCCGTTCTCAAGTTCAAACTGTGGTTCTCAGTTTGCAGCTTTCTGCATCGATTTCGATACTCAAAAGTCCCTTGGAAAGCCGATTTCTTCACCGCGCTGGACTGCCACGCGGCAAAAATATTTCGCCATCACGAGCGCTCCTTGGAGAACCAAATTTTTCTTTCGAGGACGAAGCAGAAGTGCTCCTTTGTTGCTGTCTTCGAATCTTTCGTTTCCTACGCCGTAGCCCTTTCGCTGTTGCTGAGTAGGTGCCCTTTGCCCACGATTTGTGCTGTTGGCGTAGTTTTCCTGGCGCTGGCGTCAGTTTTTCCTTGTGGCATTACCCACCATCTTTCCCTTTCGGTGAATGCCAAGCTCCCGCAGCTACGTTCTTCCGCCCGCAGTGGCCTTCTGTACGTACTCTTTTTACTGATGTTTGTATGTTATGGAAAAACATCTGGAGAATCTTCAGCTTGTCTGTCGCTTTGGTGGCCAGCGACTGTCCTCAACTAGTCATGGCACGACTTACAGGGTCTCCAATTACCCAGAAGCAGCCAAAGCTGTATTAAAATTGGACATACTGCTTGACAAAAGCAATACCCACCCACCACAAATGTGCAGTAATTGTCACAGAACAATTACTAGATCTTATGAAGAAAATAAGCCTTTATCTGGCTCAGGGGGTTGTGGACCTCTGCAAGAATGGTCTCCACATTCACGCACTGGTTGTGAGCTATGTACAAGGCTCAGCCAACAATGTCAAGGGGGAAGAAAAAAGAAAAAAAAAATTGGTGGTTTGCAATTGCCAAACGCCTCTTCTGAACCTTGCAGTACTAGCTGCTCTACTGCCAAAGCAGATGCATTGTCTGAGCCTTGTGCACAAACGACACCAACACTTGACGAAACATTGCAAACTGTTTCTGCAATAGCTACACCTATATATAAGGCAGATGCTGAGCTTGCGCCGGAACGCTTTGCACAACCGTATGCAGATGTGAAGTGTGCAATTTGTCTCCACATTGCCAACCAAGCAGTGGAGTCACCATGTTGTAGTCATTTATATTGCACACCATGCATTTCCTTCTGGCTAGCTATGAACAACAACTGCCCTCTTTGCAAGAAGGAACTTCATGCACAGCAGTTACTTTCTCCGCACCGTATTGTGGCTGGTATACTTGGTCAGATGGTGTTGCGTTGCGACTTTCATGAGTCTACTTGGGTAGGATGCATGAAACAAGTACAGCTACAGCATCTTCGTGCACATGTTGCAGAATGTCCCCACAATCCACACACACCATCCACACCACTACCTCCTACAATAACAGCCAGTACTACCTTTAACGATTTGCTTACGGCATCACCGTCCAAGCTACGTGGTAATGTGTGTGACACCGGGCTGGCGCACCTTGTTCGAGGTAAAGCCAACAAGGATAGTTTAGAGGTCAGGACAGGTGGGAGGCCCCAGGTTTGGACTAGGACACCCATTCCCATGGTGGACAGTACAGATGCCAGTCCCAGTACGCTGAAGAGAAGAGCATCACATCTAAAAAAAACAGCAAGAAACTGTGTGTGGCAGTGTTGCTGGAGCGACAACACAACTCGCTTCCACTTTGAAGAAACTGAGCAAAAGGGATAGTGATACCATGGATACCGTACCGGTCATCTACTGTCGTATACGCGTAGTACTGACCTTTGCACCCCAGACATGATTGGTTACTGTACTTGGTCTTGGACTTGGGCGCTGAGCGCAGAGCATTTCTTCACAGCGTGACATGAAAGAATAGCCTATGACTCAGTATGAGTATGATGAGAAATTATGTGTTGCAGCATGCAGCTCAGAGCTTCATATCATTGACAATGGGCAAAGGATGATCAGGAATACTATTAGATAGAGCTTGAGAAGGCTCCTGAGCATTTTACTTTAGTCACATACCGGTAACTTATTATAAGTGGCATTGGCAGGGGATAGCAAGTACACAGCCAATCCCCGCCCAGTGGGTGGTCGATCCACTAGGTTAGCCACGGAGACTGCCCACTGCCACCCACTCCAGCTGAAGTCGACGCTGCCCGTGCGCATTCGTAGCAGCCTCCAGGATTCCTACCCAGACTGCATTATTCCCTTGTGGAACAGCCTACCAGCGACCATTCTACCAGCACGGCCGCAACCCAGCCAGCTCCAATTATTCAAAGAAAAATGCAACAAGTATCTGCTGCACCTGAACTGGCAAGCAGCCACCGACGCCCTATGAAACGGTTTAGACCAGTGCCTCACTAGCATCCTCCCCCCCCCCCCCCCCCCCTTACCACAATGTGACGTTGTCTTTCACTCTGCTTCTCTCACGACCATCTACCCATTGTCCTTGTTTCTCACTATTAATAGCTACTATTATTCATTTCCCCTCTTCCTCCTCTCTACATGGTTTTACTGCATTATGGCGCGCTTTGTCTGCGTAGACGCCGAGACCTTTGAGGTCGGCAGAGCAGCCTGGCCCCGCCACCACTTCTCGCACATATTCGGGAATATAGTGGACTTTCGTATAAAAAAATATATATATAAAAACAGGGGGCGAAATAGTAGTAGGGAGTCTAGCGACTTCGAGGACACATGTAAGACGGTTGGTTGCTCGCAATCCTTTTCCCGCCGACTTGACTTCACACTTGTCTGACTCACAACTGCCATCCAGACGAGCATAGCACACGAGAAGCCCACCGAATAGGGGTAAGCGGACTTTGCTCGGAAAATGACCAGATTACGCCGCTCTAGCGGATTTTAATTTTTTTAATTTACTGTCTGCACTTCATGGCACATAATGAAAATTCTTTCAAAATAGCCAATACAAGGAAGTGAGGTGAAACCGATCCCGGGATGCTTGCAGGATGCTCGACAAAACACCCAATTATGCTTTTATATGCTTCACCAAAAAGACCAAAAGCCGTGACCAGGTAATCGTCATGAAAAAAGGACTCAGACCCGGCATTGTCATGATGTGGACCAGGAGCTTTGTGGAAGTACAAGACGAATACCAAATTCACAAGCAAACGGGAGGGAGATGTCCTATAGTGACTGCTAAAATAATTATTATTCCAAATCGACAAGAAGCCCTGTGTCAGAGGCGCAGCAGCCGGTTCGGCCGGTCTGGCTTTGACCGGACCACTTTTTTTTTAACACAATGCCCAAAGTTTGTTTGTTTTGTTTGTTTGTTTTTTTATTATTTCAGTTCGTTGCCTCAACAGTACAAAGTACAAATATCAAGAGGGACGAACGAAAAGAGAAAATAAAACAGAGCAGAGAGGAAGATGCAACTGAAAGGAAAGGAAAACTGAGAGAAACGGAGAAGGAATGTGGACTGGGCGGATTCATGAACCATTACTAGAGCAGGTCAATGCATGAACAGAAGGGGCAAGTCCGTCGATATTCATGTTTAAAAAATTCCAAGCCTTATATTATTGGTGAAATACATTTTCAAAAAGGAGGGGATATAGGGATATAGTCAATTTGTCGTCATTTAGAGCGTGCAAAAGTTCTGTAGAAAATGATCTAATGTCCTCACTTCCTTTCAAGTGAGCAGGGAGGGCATTCCACATAAGGGATGCTCTGGAGGAAAAGGAATTGTACCCTACCATGGATTTATACAAGCAAATTGACATATTGTTTGTTGTAGCTCCACGAGTTGACCGCTTAGAGGTGGGCAAAGGGAAAAGACTGCGTAAGCATGATGCAGGCTGAACAATATGACAAATAAACGTAAACGTAAGAAATTGATAAATGTATCGGTATTCAAGGTGTTTTATTTGAAGAGAAGCAAGAAGGGGTGGTACAGCAGCATGATATGAAGCACCGCACGTAACTCGGACAGCTCTACGGAACAAGGTAAACAATCTCTCCCTGGACTGTGCTGATAGGTGAGATGCGTAAACAGGGAAACAATACTCAAAGTCGGGATGAATCACACTAAGCAGGTACTGGCGACGGGCAAATGCTGCCATTTGGCGGAAGGTGCGTCGCAACGCGCCTATCTTGCGTGACACCTTGCTGGTGAGGTGATCTACGTGTGGAGCAAATGAGAGCTTGTTATCGATAAGGATACCAAGGCAGCGAATTACACTCACTTCCCTTAAGGTAGTGCCGCCCAGCTCAACAAGAACGGGTCTTTGTACGTCAGGAGCATTCTTCGGCAAGATCCTCATGACCACGGTTTTGTCAACATTAACGCTCATGCCCAGTGATCTTAGTTCATTGTGTATCTTAGCGAGAGCCGAGGACACGGCATCGGCGCATACTATTGGATCTCGTGAGGAAGCGTACAAAGTCTTGTCATCGGCAAACATGAGGAGCTTTGCACCGCTCCCTGCAGCCAGGTCAGGTAAGAGTCTCACATATAGGTTAAAAAGGGTGGGACCCAAGATTGTTCCCTGCGGAACCCCTCGGGTTACAGGGAGAAGAGATGATGTTCCAGAGGCTATACATACACGCTGGTGCCGGCCGTTCAGGTAGGAAGCGAACCATTTCAGGGCAGAACTATGAATGCCTAAGCTGTGCAAAGTAAAGATAAGTTCCTGGTGCACAACTCGATCAAAGGCCTTGCTTAAGTCAATAAATGCTACAACGGTTGTATGACCCACATCTCTAGCCAACGTCCAGTCATTTACAGCCAAGGTCATGACCTGCACTGTTGATCGCTGGGCCGGAAGCCAAATTGATGATCGTGTAGACAAGTATACAGGCCGAAGTCCCGCAGCAGTTGGTCAAGGGCAAGACGTTCGAGCATTTTGCTGAGAATGCTCGTAAGCGACACTGGGCGATAGTTGGACGGAGAAGTGTGATCACCCTGCCGGGATTTAAGAATGGGGGTGATATTAGCGATTTTAAAAAGATGAGGGAAAGTCGAAGATTGAAGAGAAGTATTGAAGATGGCTGATATAGAAGGTGCAATAACATTGGATGTGGCCTTCAGGATACTGGGAAGAAGACAATCGGGTCCTGGTGCTTTGCTGCTGTCGAGGGAGGCAAGTCTTGCCCTGACGTCTGTTACAGTGACTTGCTTAAACATACCAAATGCAGATTGAGGCGGGGGTCCATCTGGGATGTCGTACCTGGGGTTTGGATCAGTCACTATCTTATGGAAGAAGGTGTTCAACTCGTCAGCTGCAACCGCAGGAGGGATGTGGGAACGACATCGATTAGTTATGTGGTTGATAGTGGACCACAACAGCTTTGGGCTCTGTTTATATTTTAGGCACACGTTCTGGAAATGGGAATTTCTAAGTCGACGGTAGAGATTGTTGCACCGAGTTCTCAGAGAGGTAAAACATCGCTGTAATGTAGTGTCAATGCAGCCACTGGCGCGATATCGACGAAAAGCTGATTTCCTCTGGCGGATGAGTGCCAAGAGCTCTGGGGTCATGAACGGGCAGTTCTTCTTGCGCGGTCTTGTGCGTCTACCAGGCTGTTTGTACGGCGCTACCACATCTAGAACAGTGTTGAATTTACCCAACCATTCGTCGAGCATTTCATCGACGTTTGTAGACGAGAACGAAGACAAGTTTGCATGCTCAAGCAGACCTATTAACTCTGGGAAGTTGATGTTCCTATAGTCGCGGGTCTTCAAGGTGTCCAGAATGCAGGATTTTTCACCCTAATTAAAAAATTTCCAGGGGAGACTCCCCAGACCCCCCCCCCCTACAGCCGGACCACCTCCAACAGTGGTGCTACTGTAGTACTAGTATCCCTGACTGTCACTATAACACAACCTCCTAGTTACATTGTAGTTTACAGGTACATTCTATCTTAGTGCTTCTCACGCGCAACCACTTAGGACTAGATAGCCCTGCTTGCAAGACCGGTACGGCATGACCTATCGCATTCATGCTGTACTAATACATTACATTGATTCCTGTACTAGACTGTAGTCCTACTTCATGCACCATTGCGCATCCCCCGGCCCTCTTAATCATCAAGTATAAGATTCCCTCGCTCTATTCAGCTTCTCTTCTTTGAATAGCGTATTTCCCGGCATCCTTCCGGCTCCAATAACTAGCCGACAAGTAAGATTCCTTTTGCTACACAGTTTTAGATGTCATTCTTGTTGCCCCACCCGTTGCTCGCCACTTAGGTCCATTCGTCCCCCGCACTGTTTCTTGTCCTGTTGTTCTCCTGCTTTCTTTTGCCCTCACTCCCAGCTGCTCTCTCCCTCTGGCATATAAACCCATCATTCTTTCTCATTGCATTGTGGAATTATGAAGTGAAGAGTTTTAAGCCCAAGAGCTTGTTTTCCTCCGGCTAGTGCTGTCAGCCTGTATCACTTTCTGTTGTAAGTCCAAAGTGCCTCAGACACGAGCAGGCTGGCAGACACTACACTACGTGCCTGTATGTACATGTATGGTCCTTCAATAGCAGGTGTGTAACCGCCTCATTGAGTCATAGGGCATCTGACCTCAGTGTTTTTCGGATGCCATTTTATGCTCCTTCTCAAAAAGGACCTGATTATGCCAAAAACTATGCCGGCATATTCCGCTTACCCCTACCACGCTAACGCCGAGACCCCTGGTCGGCCGAGTTGCTCCCTGTACATCGGCACGTCGTCCCTACATCCCCTGTGTCTTGTCTTGTGTTTGTCTCCACATGTCTCTTTGTAGGGCTGTGTTCCCAATAAAAAAAAAAATAAAAAAAAATAAAAAAACCACCGAACCTTCGACTCGGCAAACTGCAAGAAAGCACCGCTCACTGCTCAACACACAGCGTTTCAGGGAATCATTCACCCCTCACCGGTACCAGTTCTGAGCTTGGGTAGGCTGAGCTGAGGAAGACTTCACCTCAATAGCACCACTTGTATAGTGCTCTCCAGTAGGCACCGACGGATTATGCCGGCAGAAAAATTGGCAGAATTCGGTACTTTTTCTGGTAGGTTTCATGCATGTTTGGTATGTGGATAAAGAAATGGAGCAGAATTCGAGGAATTGCCTGCCATAAGGTTTGTATGGTTCTGCCAATTTCACTGCTTTTCGAGCAGAATCCAGGGGCGGATCCAGGGGGGTTCGGGGGGACCCACCCCCCCCCCCCCCCTTGAAGGGCACGGGCGCACGCGCCTGCAGCTACATAGACCTACCGGTATGCGTTCGGTTCGGAGAAAGAGGTGCACTTGTTGAGCTGCTACGGAAACTTCGAAAGTAAGTTTCAAATACTAGTTTCTGAATGGTGCGGTGCCGTCACGGCTTGTGCTTTTGAGCTGTCTTAGAGTTCGTCCAAGCGTCTAAAAGAGGCAGGCTCAAGACCAGCTGCCCTTGAATTTTGGTGACGCTCCAAAGAAAAGTGTAGCCACTAGTGTCGAAGGTAGAACAAAGAGCGAAACTTTGAAAATCACGTTCAAGTTCAACCTCCCATCATCCAATAATAACATTTTCCCCAAACTGGGGACAATGAGTCAATGACTAAGACACGGAAGATGCAGGAAGCCTACCTTATGGAACCTACTCTACATACCAGTATATTGGAATCAACATAGGGTGGCTCGGAATACAATATGACGAACAATTATTATAGACGAGCTGCTGGAGAAAAGTACCAATCAGCTTGTCACGGGGGGGGGGGGGGACCAGGGTGATAGCACAGGGGACGACTGCAAGCTCAGCCATTACAGGGTTGCGTTCAAGGGAAGAGAGGGAAGGACGTAATAGTAGAGGTGGGTAATAACAGAAGGGGGGGGGGGGGTAACGATTGACGGCAAAATACAAGCAGGCGCACCGTGACGCCGAATGGGGGGGGGGACCAAGGGGACGGACAAAGGGGAATGTTGGCTAGATACATGACATGTGCGACCACACGAGACTTGTAAGTTGTAGCGACTTTACTCACTGTTTTGCCTCCGACCAGGGAGTCGTAAAATACCGGAATTTTACGACTCCCTGCCTCCGACAACCAGTTACCTCGCTCCTCAGTCCTCACTACCATGGCTACAGAAATGACCTCAGTCTTCTCTACATGATCCTACTGACTGTCGTACTGATAGTACCAGAGTACACCTCCTCGACTTCACTGGAAGACATCACACCAGTGACCTCCTCTTCAGTACTTCACGTGTCATCTCCTAGTCTCCACACCTCCCGGTCTTCCAACTACAGACAAGTAAAGGTTCTAAGCACAACACTAATATACATTGTACAGTGTATCAGTCATTTTAGTGCTGAAATCACCTGAATACTACATTTTTTAGTACAAGACATCCGACGACCTGACCTCACCAGCTGCAGTATTCAACGTCTGTAGGGCCTTCCCTATCAAAATAATAAATTCTACTACTACTACTACTACTATTCACACACACTAGGTAGTATCGACATATCTCAGTTGTTTTGTTCAGCTGTGAAACTTACTTCCTCGTTTTTACTTGGCTTGTATCCATATTCGTTGCGCTACATGTATATATAATACCGTCCCCTCCCGGCAGGCCAGAGGCAATGCCAGAACTAACGTGTTACTTGGCAGAAGGTAAAGAGTAAAGTCTTCTTGCACAGGCAGTAGATCTACATGCTTGTAACATAGTAACAAGTAATAGTTACATGCATAGTCACTAGTCCCTGTACTACTAAGTACTAGTACTAGTACTAGTACTAGTAGTGACTACTACTAGTACTACCCGGCCACAATGGCCGGTAGTCTTTATTTCTTCCATATTCATGATATTCCGGCAAACCAAGCTCAGCACAGTACAGTCTGACAGCACATGACTAGAGCACCTACCGGATGTGCAGAAATGTGCCGGAAGAGAGGATGCATCCCACACGAACTGGCACTCACGCCAACAGCACCACTGGTGTCCTGCGCTTCACGAGCCTCAAGTAACAGTTAGTTGCTCAACGTTTCAGGTCGACGTCCATTTCGCTGACGGCTTCCGAAAGCAATTTTACATGTATCGGCATTGCGCGGAACGATCCGACAAAGCCGGTCGTGGAGAGACCTTTACTTCACTCTTCGGGCTTTAGACGGCTGGCGTTGTTTCTTACGGCGCGTAGCATTATTGTTATGACTCGACGTGGCAGCTGCAACAGGAGCCGGTGAAATACTTCTGCAAGATATCAGTCCGCGGTTAGTACAACAATTTAAATAGATAACGTTAGCTGCTCAGCACTGGTGTTCTGCTCCAAGTAATACTAATAGTTTTGTGGAGAGAAAATTCTAATATGTTTGCTATGCTTGCAGTGTAGTGCGTCCATACTCGATAGGGTGATTGCGGACGGCACGTGGCCCCGTGGGACATGTGGTTTGTTATGGGCAACTCGCCACCGCGCTAAGGAAGAAGAGACGAAGAGGAAAGGATTTCAATCGTTGAGCTGTTACTGTCCATCCACCGTTTTCGATCTAGGCACTACCTGTACCGATACCCACTTTAGACGCTACCCATCGGCAGCAGGCGGCTGAAGCAGCAGGGCAGGAGAGGTCTGTTATCACCATCATAATTATTTTGGACTTGTTCAGACTAGGAGCGGATAGCTAGCGCCAAGCCCCGCACTCATGGCCACCTTGCTAGCTACCATTGCCGGTACAGTGATTGCTTTGTGGGCTGCACACTGCTCACTGGCTGAACTAACACTGGGGCCTGGAGTAACGACGACGGCAGCAGCTGTGGTTAACGATTGGCACTGCATGCATGCTCAAGACAAAGCAAGTAAGTCCATGTCCGGTTTGTAGTTTATGAATCCTTTCTTTCACGTCTGGCCCTCTGGGTCCGGTGACCATGGTGACCTTGTGCGTAGCATCAAGAGTACATGACCAAGATACTACTACTAGTAGTGTGGCCACCGATTCGCCCCTGGCAGCATTTTGCTGTGACCTCAGTCTTTCGCAGGCATTGGCCGATGGATGCCATCATGCGAGGGACATGTACACTACTCAATAGTCGGGTAATCATCTAGTTTAGGGTCCCAAATTATTTCGCACTTTCCCAGTGTTCTGTGTACTTTCTATGTACTTTCTGTGTACGTGAGAGCGTGTCAACCCCAGAAATTTGCAAATCGAGATCAAAAACACAGTCAGTAGCTGTTGATATGGAATTTTTTCATCACGAACCGATCAGACAGGGTACTGCTGATGAATGCTGCGGAGCAGGGAGCCGAAGGTGTTTCGTTCCTCTCGAACTCTTTGCCTCCACACGAACTCGCAGAGGTAGGTTGGAAACAACTCGCGAGACGTGCCGAAGTTGCGTTGAGCTGGCGCTTTGCACGCATCCACATATTCTCGACATTGTTGGTATGGATGCTCTTGACATAGTGCCGGTCTGCATCTCCAGCGAAACCCATCGTGGCTTTCCTGCCTCCTAGTGAGGCCACATCACGCACCACATGTGTCACAGAGCATTTCGTTCCTGATAAAGCGCCGAGCGGCAAGGAACTCGAGTTGGCCAAGTAACAGTTGGGTCCTGGAAAAGATCGGCACAAGGGTGAACACGGTCCACTGCTCCATCAAAATTGCATCATTATTTTAGTATGTCTCCCTGAGGGACATTCCGTATCGGCGCACCGGGACGCCCAGCCATTACCACAAAGTCAAAGGAAACAACTCTATAAAGGACACAAAACTTCGAAACACACTCGAGCACGCTCTCACGTACACAGAAAGTACAGACAACACTGGGAAAGTGCGAAATAATTTGGGACCCTAAACTAGATGATTACCGGTGAAATTTTGATTTTAGCCTTAGCTTCCCTTTTAAAGCCAGGTAGTGCCATGCATGGGTCCCAGACATGGAGATGTGATGCAATGTAACTAATACTTGTGAGGTCTGTATTCTACCATGCCAGGCATGGTGACCTCTCTTTGCACTTACACATTGTAGACCATATAATAGTATGATGCCGTGGAGCACTTGGGCTGGGTGAGCCCATGGCAGCCGCCAATAGGATCTACATACTGTCTTGTTTATGCACTGTCCTGACGGTACAGTGAACGGTTGTGGATGTGGCTAGACCATCAGGCTTCTACTGGCCCTAGCTTGCTGTATGCATCTCAGTTGTGTAACATCATTGTGCTTGGTGTTAGATAAGCCTTGTTTGGTTGACAGCATGTTGTTTGGTTGAACGCATGTTGTTTTGTTGAAAGCATGTTGTTTGGTTGACGGCATGTTACAAGGCGGAGGACGTGCATGTTGCAAGGGGGAAGACTCGTCCTCCGAATTGTAACATGCTGTCAACCAAACATCATGGTACTTGCATACAGCTCCCCCCCCCCCCTTCTCTCTCTCTCTCTCCCTCTCTCCTCGACCCATGGAACAGAAAGTAGGTGGTACTGACTGCAGTGACTGCTATGTTGTCGATAAATAATGGTGGTAAAGACACACCTGGCAATATGGCGGTAAACACACGCCTGCCCACACACGCTCTCTAGGCTGCAAAGTTCTGGCACAGAGCTCTCCTTCTCACCACCACCACCATCAGTTCGCGCCTGGCGCCTGGTCGATGCATGGTTGGCGGTATCCAGCATAGCAGGCTGGTACATCAAGTAGTGCATGGCACATAGCAGATGACACAGCAACGACATAGCTCGATTGCGACGTACGTTTCGTCCCCGCTGGACTCATCAGGCAATCTTCTTCTTGGATGTCTTCACACGGAGCTTGACTCGGGAGAATGAATTTGAAGACACCACTGCAGCTGTACTTATGGTTGATAAATAATGGTGGTAAAGACACACCTGGCAATATGGCGGTAAACACACGCCTGCCCACACACGCTCTCTAGGCTGCAAAGTTCTCCACCACCATTATTTATCAACCATAAGTACAGCTGCAGTGGTGTCTTCAAATTCATTCTCCCGAGTCAAGCTCCGTGTGAAGACATCCAAGAAGAAGATTGCCTGATGAGTCCAGCGGGGACGAAACGTACGTCGCAATCGAGCTATGTCGTTGCTGTGTCATCTGCTATGTGCCATGCACTACTTGATGTACCAGCCTGCTATGCTGGATACCGCCAACCATGCATCGACCAGGCGCCAGGCGCGAACTGATGGTGGTGGTGGTGAGAAGGAGAGCTCTGTGCCAGAACTTTGCAGCCTAGAGAGCGTGTGTGGGCAGGCATGTGTTTACCGCCATATTGCCAGGTGTGTCTTTACCACCATTATTTATCAACCATAAGTACAGCTGCAGTGGTGTCTTCAAATTCATTCTGCTATGTTGTCATAGTAACTAGTTACCAAAGGAGGATGCTGCTACAAAAGACTTTAAGTGCACAATGTCATGCTCAAACACATACACAGTCCACATGGATCAAATTGTCGTGCTATGAACTCCATTGAACGTAATGCATGAAGGGAAGCAGGCGGGCTGCAGCAACACACCCGCAAATGATAAATTGCCACCTGAGTCCGTTCTGAATTGAATCAGTCTAATCAAAACATGGCACTGCGAGTCAGGTGGAACTTTGCATTCCAGGTCTGCCTGACGATCGGAAGCACTCCCTCAGGCCTGGCCCATGATCGGGGCGGGGGGGGGGGGGGGGGGCGGCGGGGGAGGGGCTATATTTCGAGCGTGACTGCTCAAGATTGCTTGCGGGCAAACGCCTCCTGACTACTAACCAGCTGTGTTCTGTCATGACCTGTTCGCACGAATGTCCGGCCTGTATGGTCGTCGGCCCTGATCTGACCTTCATGCAGACCGTAATTTGTACGTTCATTTGGTTAATACTTCGAAGTACATCCCTGACTACAAGCTTTTGTACACTGAGACATAGCTGTGCACCCTAGGCCTTAGTAACTAATTACTTATGGCTGCACCTGCATGTGTCTGCTATGCTCTCTGTTGGCCCATCATTGCCGCCTGCCCTTAGCCCACTGCAAGAAAATCACGACCATCTTGCCGACGAAGAATGAAGTGCGGGCGGCTGCCCTTGCCTCAACTGTAGCACTGCGCTGTGTTGTGGAGACCAACGGTCCGTTCAACCCCAGTAGGCCTGTCAGTATATCGTGGTACTTCATGGACGCAAGTAAGTTATGTTTCCGTGCAGTCTCCGGGGGACAGTCTCAGTTTTCTGGTTGCAAACGCTGTGCACTGATTGTAATGTGACGCTGCGTTGATACATAGCCAGCAATCGTATGTCATCACGTACATTCAAAATTAACATTATTTTGCGAATCGACCTTTTTTTCAGGATCACTTTTCAACGAGGACGAAGCAAAGTCGGCCGAACGAAGCCTAGAGGAAGAAAATCACCCTCTCCACTTCACCATCACGATACTGACATAGATACGAGATGAAACAACTAAAAAATCCACAAGAAAACTGTACGGCCATCATCGCGCTGACTTTGGTCTGACTTTGGTCTGAGAATTTCTATCGCGACCAAAAATGTACGAGGAGCACTCAAAAATAAGCCACAGACGTACCTTTATCGCTCTCTACTCCTTTTTCAAGGCACAAAAGTGGACTCTCCACTTTCAAACCAGGAACTAGACATACCAGTGGTCCTTTTCAGCTGCTCCACGAGCGCAGGAAAGGTTCACCAAGGGGCGCAGAGCAGCATCCATTCCAGAAAAAGAGCTAAATTACGAGTGAGACTGCATGCCTGAGTACATGAGTACATGATTGTATGAGTACATGCAGAAAATAGTCAATTTCAGCGTTTCTGCTCCAAACAGCAACTAGCTACGACTAGAAACAAAGATTACACCAAAGGATCAAACAACAACCATTTTCTGCAGTTTTTTGCAGATGGCTTCCTTGTGCTTGGCCGGCCCAGCACGCCAAAAATCACACCTCGGAGGAGTACAAAAATTACAACTCTCAGATGTCCTCGATTGCTGGCCATCATGCGGCTTCCTTTGTGGAGTTTCGCATGCAAAATGTCCAAACATGACTTGGCGGCATGCGAGATGCAGTATCAACAGAGATGCAGCCCCTGACTTTTTGACGCCCTTCGCCGGAGGCAATGATAACGGTGCTACAGCAGAAGCCATACCAACCAATGCCGAGACTGCACCATTCAACAGCTTGCAGGCCTGAGGGATTGATGGCCACTATTCAGCCTGATCAGCACCAAACAGCTTGTGGAAGTGGGGTTTCTGGAGAGTGAATCTCTGCTTTTTTGGTATTCCTTTTATTTCTTCTCCTTTTTTCTATTTTCCTGCACACACACGCACGCACACACGCACGCACGCACACACACATCACACATCACACCGCATACTCCGGCATGCACTGGCTGTAGGTACTTGTACTTGTACTTGCTCACTGCCAAAACTGGTCACGTGGGTTTCCCCGGGAGAGGGGAGAGAGATTCAAAAGGAATCTTGGAAAGAGGACTCAATTGGCCATTGAACCGCCCAACGGCCGACACCCCCTGAAATCTCCAAACTATGGGTGGACTTGGAACTGTTCCCACTTATGGGCTCACCACACCTCAGTAAGTGGGTGGGAACAAGGTGCAGAAAAAGGATTGACGGTATCAAGGTACCTGTCCCGGGATCGAACTGCATTTACCCCTGCCCCCCCCCCCCCCCCCCCCGTGAAGGTAATACTTGCTACTACAGTTGAACATCGATTATCCGACCACCTCTGGGCAGAGAGTGATAACCTCGGCAGTGGAAAGTGTATTTTTTATAGGGGAGAACTTACTTACGGGGAAATACGGTATTCGAGTAGATCCATTTGGGAAGGGGCGGATGGGCGAGTCCTGCTTGCCGCATAAAGTCCTACATGAAAATGTACTCACCCTACGAAATCTGTGCGTGCGTCTCGTACACCGACCAAAGGTCAAGAGCTGGGAGTCGTGCAGATCTATCGAAAACCAGGTTTTGTGTGATCCCTGGTCAAGGAAGGGTGCGAACTGTTGCATACATTTCCAACCAGGTCGAGGACACATCTGCATTACAGTACGGCCTCACACACTTCACAGAGTGGTACGCGGATACAATCATTATCACTTCCCTGACAAGAAGTCAGGGAGAGGCGCATGGGAGAGACGGGGTGCTCTGGCGGGATTTTACGGTAGTGTGGGTGGCTATATCAAAGAGGATCTGATATAAGCTTGTGACTAGCACCATAGTCCATTGATTACACAAGAGTTAAAATCCAGCCAGAAGTAGTATATGGTTTGAATTAACAGCCAGGTATGTATACTTCAAATAGAAAGTATATGAACCCTGCAACCAACAAAGGTGGCAGGTACAACATTACACCTTCAAGCGGCTGTCAGTGGTAACCACCCAGGAGAATGAAAGAAAAGTCCGGAGCCGGATGAGAAAGAGAAGAAAGACGCATGTGACCATAATTGGCGGGAATTAAACCTGCAACCTCTCAATTGGAATTTGGCTGCACATACCACTGGACCATATGTGACACATGCACGCACGCACACACGTACATATGCACGCACGCGCACACACACACACACACACACACACACACACACACACACACACACACCTTTGGACCTTTGGATGCCCATTGCTCCGTGCTATGATAGCATCAGGAGTTGCAGTATTTCCTGTGGCGAGTTAGATCGTTGGGCCGACGAAAGTCCCTGCCACAGCCGCAAATGAACACTCTAAGCTTTGGCACAGCCGGCCGGGGACGATTGCACATGAGGCGCCAGTCTCGTCTGTCCTGTGCCAAGTCGCACCAGTCACCTGTCACGCACCGAGCACTCAGATCAGCAGCGGCGATGTCCCTCCAACGTTTCTTAGGACCGTGTCTGGGCCTTGTGTTGAGTCCCTCGGCAAACAGAACGCGCTTGGGAGACGGGAATCCTCCATTCGCCCAAGGTGGCCAAGCCAGCGTAAACGGTGACAGCGTACGACCTCCGCCATTGACGACGGCATACCGAAACGACGGGCTAGTTCCTCAGAAGAAATGCGCTCCTGCCACTGCTGGTCCCGTGACACACCCAGAATCACTCGGATGCAATGGTGATGGAATACCTCCAGGCGATGTAGCTGCGGGGCCTTCAACGTCCAGGTCTCTGATGCATAAACCAGGACCATCAAGACGCAATCTTGGTACACATAGCGCCGTGTCCCAAGAGACAGTGACGTGTTGCGGAAGATGGGGTCCGCTAGGCTGCCAAACGCACGCGATGCCTTTGCCAAACGGAATGCAATGGTTTGCGTCAAGGATGCACACTTGCTCCTATTATGTTTAACATATATTTCGCAGCTGTTGTGACGGCCCACTGCCACTGGCGGTCGATCTCCTCTATTCCTGGCTTTCGACTGCGCTATCGTTTGGGTCGCAAGCTCGTCGGCGGTCGCACAACCAAGAGTCGCCTTGAGCACCTGGATGTCACTGAGTCACAGTTCGCCGACGATGCCACACTGTACACCACCTCACATGAGAATCTGTGCACTATGGCCAATGAGTTCATCTCATGCGCGTCTGACTGGGGCACACACACACACACACCCACACACACCCACACCCACACCCGCCCGCCCGCCCGCACGCACGCCCGCACGCCCGCCCGCACGCACGCACGCACGCACACACACACACACACACACACTCAGAGGTCTAGCCAGGATTTTATGCCAGCCGGCCAACGTTCTAGTTAAAATGCATCGTTCCCCGCAGCCCCCAGACCCCCACCATCACTCACGTATCCACACAGACACACACACACACACCACTACAAATCTTTCATTGCAGCTTGCATCTCCTTTCGCTTCGTCCAATTATGGGCATTCATCAGGCAGTTGTGACAATGTGATTATAGGTAAATTAACAAAATATGAAAAAGGAAGCAAACAGCTACATGAGCATGGATCATGTGTTCACCAAGGTCATGTCTGCATGCAGTGTACATAATTGGTCATCTGACAAGACCCAGCCTAGCCATAGCCGTGTACACCACCAGAAGCAGCGAACCATGACCCAACCTGTTACATTTTACTGACGTACTCAAGTGCATACTCAAGTGCATTTGAGCTTGAGTGAAGAGCTAGCACTGAGCCTGAGTAGCCAGTGCTACGTACTGTACTGTACATACCTATGCCTAGGATATGGGTTGTACTCCACCATCTCAACTCAAGTGCTAGTGCAGTGCACTACAGTCTACATGGGGGTGACTGCAGCCAATTACCCTTGGAGCTGTCTCAGCTGGTTCTTCGGTTCTTCCCCTGAGCCGGCTTTGGCTAGATCACTGCGTGACACACACACACACACACACACACACACACACACACACACACACACACACACACACACACACACACACACACACACACACACACACACACACACACACACACACACACACACACACACACACACACACACACACACACACACACACACACACACACACACACACACACACACACACACACACACACACACACACACACACACACACACACACACACACACACACACACACACACACACACACACACACACACACACACACACACACACACACACACACACACACACACACACACACACACACACACACACACACACACACACACACACACACACACACACACACACACACACACACACACACACACACACACACACACACACACACACACACACACACACACACACACACACACACACACACACACACACACACACACACACACACACACACACACACACACACACACACACACACACACACACACACACACACACACACACACACACACACACACACACACACACACACACACACACACACACACACACACACACACACACACACACACACACACACACACACACACACACACACACACACACACACACACACACACACACACACACACACACACACACACACACACACACACACACACACACACACACACACACACACACACACACACACACACACACACACACACACACACACACACACACACACACACACACACACACACACACACACACACACACACACACACACACACACACACACACACACACACACACACACACACACACACACACACACACACACACACACACACACACACACACACACACACACACACACACACACACACACACACACACACACACACACACACACACACACACACACACACACACACACACACACACACACACACACACACACACACACACACACACACACACACACACACACACACACACACACACACACACACACACACACACACACACACACACACACACACACACACACACACACACACACACACACACACACACACACACACACACACACACACACACACACACACACACACACACACACACACACACACACACACACACACACACACACACACACACACACACACACACACACACACACACACACACACACACACACACACACACACACACACACACACACACACACACACACACACACACACACACACACACACACACACACACACACACACACACACACACACACACACACACACACACACACACACACACACACACACACACACACACACACACACACACACACACACACACACACACACACACACACACACACACACACACACACACACACACACACACACACACACACACACACACACACACACACACACACACACACACACACACACACACACACACACACACACACACACACACACACACACACACACACACACACACACACACACACACACACACACACACACACACACACACACACACACACACACACACACACACACACACACACACACACACACACACACACACACACACACACACACACACACACACACACACACACACACACACACACACACACACACACACACACACACACACACACACACACACACACACACACACACACACACACACACACACACACACACACACACACACACACACACACACACACACACACACACACACACACACACACACACACACACACACACACACACACACACACACACACACACACACACACACACACACACACACACACACACACACACACACACACACACACACACACACACACACACACACACACACACACACACACACACACACACACACACACACACACACACACACACACACACACACACACACACACACACACACACACACACACACACACACACACACACACACACACACACACACACACACACACACACACACACACACACACACACACACACACACACACACACACACACACACACACACACACACACACACACACACACACACACACACACACACACACACACACACACACACACACACACACACACACACACACACACACACACACACACACAGCTATGTAGACATAGCAACTTGTGCTGGGATTACGCCATTCAACAGCTTGCAAGGCTGAAGAATTGACCGCCACTCCTTTTAGCCTGGTATCCACCACACAACTGATTGAAGTGACTTTTTCTGGCCAGTGAATCCCTATTTTTCATTTCATTCTTTTGTGACACACACGCCACACCACATACTCCGGCATACACTGGCTGTTGGTCACCACCCAGGAGAATGAAAGAAGAGCTAGGAGAATGAGAAAGAGAAGAAAGATGTGTGCGACCATAATCGTCGGGAATTGAACCCGCAACCTCTCGATTGGAAATCGACTGCACATACCACTGCACCATATGGGACACACACACACACACACACACACACACACACACACACACACACACACACACACACACACACACACACACACAGGCCTTACCATGCATATACCGGTACAGTTTTGTGCCATGGCCGATGAGGCTAACACTAGCTGTGTATTCCTTTTCCCTGCAGTAAATCTCACGCTCTATTACTCATTGTGCTCTGCCTCCATTGCAGAAGATTATCCAGGCCATGGTATCTTCAGTACTGAAAGGAAATCTTGGGAGATGTTGAACAAAACATCTGGAAGACTCATCTATAACTCGTCATTTATACTGCACGGCTTAGACGAAACGGCGTATGGTCTGTATCGCTGCCTCGTGGACGACAGCATCCAAACAGAAAACCGATACTTCTTTGTGACTCCCAAAGGTTTGTGTGTTGAGGGAGGGTGGGGGAGGGGGGGGGGGGGGGTACGTTGCTGTGTGCAGACCCGTGGTGTATTGCCATGTGTGGGATGATAACATCCAGTGATAGTGCTTGAGCCTTGCCGCCCTCATGTTCATACAGCTGTGTTACTAGTTTTTTTAGTTTTTTTACTATTAACACAGCCCTACTGGAAAACATGCGGAGAACAAAAATAAACAAGGAAAAGGACGAAACATAGGGGATGTGGGGACGACGTGCCGATGTGTTGTATATAGTATGAATGTGTGAATCAGTGGCAGGTTGAAGTTGCCACTATTTACTCTTGACTCCGGTAGGCGTTTCGCCATGAAAGGGCCAGAGGAGGCATGTGCACCCCCTAAAATAGGTTGACCCTCGTTCAGCATGACTGTGCATGTTTTGGTCCAAATGCCATGGGTATACTGTAGCAGGTGACCATGGTGACTACCTGCTTTGAAGCCCAAGGTGCACCTTTCTCCCCCCCCCCCCCCCCCAAAGGTGGCCCAGCTGCGAAACGGATCTACAAACACTTTCCTCGATTAACTGGTGCACTCGTATCTCTCTTTTCCGGACCTCGAAGTTACAGACACCTCGGTTTACCGCCCACCCTATCCGGGCGGCGGCAAGTCAAGTTTTTGCGGACGTATTACTACTCTTTTGCTAATTGTATGGAAACAGTGATGTCATATGCCAGATGTCTGGCCCTTCTCTCTCTCGCTCTCTCCCCCCCCCCCTCCCATTGAAACAACATGTGTGATTCAGAGTCGTGGGCATTTTCAAAATTTTGGGAAGTGCTCGGTCCCGGACCGCCTGGAAAAGAGAAAAATAATATGAATGCACACCAGCCAGACACAGTTAAAAGGCATGCAAGGGGATTTATCGTGATAGTATGTCCATTTGAAACAAATCAAAGTGGCTGTTGCCTGATCCCAGGTTGTTTTCTACTGCACACTGTTATGGACCAGTGCACTGCACTGATTCCCGATTCCGCGACCGTGTGCTATGCCAGATGGTGGGTGCTCAACTGGTTGGGCCATGATATTGAAAGTGCCCCATTTGTAGTACTACCCATTTGTTGTTGTTTGAATTCTTTATTCTTACGATGGCACCATCGCCAATAAGAGTTGTTGTTGCTGTTGCTGCTGCTCCTGCTACTGCTGCTGCTGTTGCTGTTGCTGTTGCTGTTGCTGCTGCTGTTGTTGGTTGTTGTTGTTGTTGTTGTTGTTGTTGTTGTTGTTGTTGTTGTCGTCGTCGTCGTCGTCGTCGCCGCCGCCGTTGTCGTTGTTGTTGTTGCAGATTTTGACCTAACCAACAGGAACGAAATTGGCGAGCTTCTTTCTAACAGTTTCATTACAGAAATTGAACAACTTTCGGCTAAAACTAACTACACTGTGTTGTTCGACTGCTACAATCCAAACACACCTGATGAGTCCCTGTCCTGGCGTGGTCCGGACGGGAAGACCATTGAAGATTACACCACGAATTCCAGCTTCCGTAGAGTGGCCTATCAGACATACCTTAATTATGTGAGTACCCGTTACAGGCTTGAAGCCCCCCCCCCCCCCCCCCGGGCTACATTCACTGTGTTATTCACGGCATGCTTGTGTTGAAGTAAGCCAGCTGAACAGTGTTGTGTCCTACCCCAGGTGGGTTCTACTCGGACTCATCCAGCTCGATCACACACACACTCGAGGTCATTACAGATTTCAGTACATCTCAAACTCCATATCCGAAAAAGACCCAGCTCACGTGCGAGCATGCGCACTACATACATATGGTCCATGTCTAGGACATGACAAACAGTGAGTCCACATCTTCACATATACTCAATCTGCAGACAGAAGTGTTTCGCCCTTTGTGGACTCAGCGCAGCACAGAGGAAAATGAGGCCGAACCTGATAGCAATGAAAAGTAAAATTTTCCAAAGCCGGATTTAAACCAGGCCCGAACGTACCTTCACATACACTGATGGATTGGATGGGAAAGGACTAGGCCAGGGAACTGTATTTCGTAGAGAAGAGAAACAATCACGTCTTCTTTAGAAAGTACTTTTCACCCCCTTAGAAGTTTGAACTTGTGGTGACGGTGCAGAAGAAACATGACGAGTGCAGCTCTTGCCCACCCTCCCATGTCCACACTCTATATGTATGTGCTCACCGGTCCCTCACAGATCCAGTTTCCCGTCGAGAGACACGCGGATGGCAGTGTATCACCTATCGCGCCTGAGTTTGTGCTGCAGGCACACAGCATATTGCTGTACATTGATACCACGTACTTCAGCAGGCCAGGGACGTTCTTTTGCAACAGCACCTCGTTCCCCGGGAACAAGTTTCTGATATTGAATACTACCTGTAAGGTCATGGTTATGTCCTCTTTGTGAGCCTTTGTGAATACTAGGGTTTGATATTCCCAATGTCAAAGTATTACCAGGGGCGTCAGAACTGGTGCGACAGGTGCGCCCATAACCGCACCAATAATTTCATCTTGGGATTTTTGAAGCAATGGAATGTGGGCTTCAAGTTTTGGGCCCAGTTTCTCTAAAAATTTCCAGGGAGAGGACCCCTGACCCTCCATCCATCCATCCATGCATGGCCGCACCAATGTCGAATACCTTCCGCCGCCCCTGATTATAATAATGAGTATTTACCGGACGGTGCACCCCGCAGTGTGCTGAGATAGGCCAGCAAGGCACACTGAGACCAGTGTGTGCAACGCTCAGTCTCATGCTATGCACTTCTCAGGCAACATGAAGATGCTGCAGCTGCTGGCTATGCCAGTATTTACGCCAGGATAAATAGATACGTGTGGGTTCTCTCGGGTGTGGTGCTATGCTTTGATAATTGCATGGCATGAAACTCAGAATTGCGTCAAACTAGCCTTTTATCTTGTTGTTCTGTATAGCAAGTATCTACGACTACAGTACAGTGAGTAGCAAAGTAAAGGTCGCACGTCCGCGTTACCACCGGCTATGTACCGTATATTCTCTATTATAAGCACAGGTCTCCATTACTAGCACAGTCTCTATTACCAGCACACTGTGAGCACTTTTCGAATTATTATAAGCACGGTCTCTATTATTAGCACGGTCTTGGTGGAAATCAATGCTGCATGCATGATATCTAGCATGTATTTCTTCTCGCTCTGTATGGATGCATTGGTTGAAAAAATATAAGCACGGTCTCCAATATAAGCGCGGTCTCCAATATAAGCACGGGGTAGAGGGGTGTTGAAAAATATAAGCACGGCGCTTATAATAGAGAATATACGGTAATTGTATTGAGAAACACAACCAGCTTAGGAAGTTTCGCATGTGCCAGGCCTCCACCATGCCTGTGATACCAGCCACCAGCCACCCCGGTATCACAGTGAGTAGTAGTAGCATGATGAAATCCAGTTACTGGTGTGGAATTGCCTGCACAGTTGTTGATACCGGTGATCTTTTTTTTTTCTTCTTTTCTAAAGCATATTGTGTTGCTTAGATACCTGTTACTTTTTGTTAATCCTATGTTTTTGCTTAGCCAATTCAAGACCTTTTCCGCGGCCACCTGTCGTCAGTTTGTTTCCCAGTGTCTACGAGGTACTGGAGTCATTCGTGACGACGCGCCTGTATTGCAATGCGTCCGTCTCATCGGATGCAGAGCGCCCGCTAAGCTTCCACTGGGACTTTTACTCGGAGGAGGAGGGTCGCGTATTTTCGGCCAAGAAGAGGTTCACTAACATCCAGGTTGTGCCGGACACGAACGTGTCGGACCCTGCAGTTACCCAGAGCACTCTGATCATTGACCGAGTAGCGGAGTCATCAGAGGGAACGTATGTGTGTAAGGTCACGAACTCCTACGGCCTATCCAGTTCAAACCGCGTCTTACTTGACGTCACTGGTAAGCTGTGATCATACTTGTACGACTACGCAGCCATGCACTCCTAAAAGGTTATATCTATGGAGCCGGTACTTTATGGGTTGTTTCCATCGCCGGTTGTGTGCATACGTATGGTGGGTGTGCATCCGAACATGCATGCGTGAATTTCTGCTCTCCATCCAACTGGGGTGCTGCGGGTCCTTTCAGGACGTGCCATCATCTATGGATGGACAGTGTTCTATTTCATTTCACTACATTGTGTTGTGTATTTGCTCGGAACAGTACCGAATCATGACCCTCCCGTGTACCTGGAGCCGCTTCAGCAGCTGACGTACAAACGCGTCCAGATCGCTGAGCCGCTCAGCATTGTATGCAGCCTGCACGGCGGCGTCACGCTGTCCACCGTGATGCGTCTCCAAACACCCGATGGACGCGTGGTGAACTTGTCAAAGCATCCGGAATTCTCGGAAAGGGTAAGGGCAGTGGATGCAGAGCAAGCGGCGTGTGATCTGCCTAGCTGCGGTGGTGTGAAATCACTGCAGGATTACTTATTATCAGCAGAACAATCTGAGTAGAGTCAAGAGTGCACAACCCCAAGAATGTGTGGCTGCCTGCACAACCTCTATACCGAGTGCTGCGACGGCAGAGATTCACATCATGTGACATGGTGAAAGATAATGCTGGCGAACAATGCAAATTGACCACCGTAAGAGAGTTGAACCCAAAGCAGGGGTGCGTACGACCCTGTATCTATCATGCACAGGGTGCAGCTAATGTGCAAGGGTTTGTCACATGATGTGAACGTCTGCTGTCGCAGACCCCATCCCATGGCTTGCACTCTTCAGGTGTCTGTACACTTACTTATAGTAGAATCAGGTTCAAGTAGTAGCGAGCAGCGCACCCCAAACATGATTCAAACTTGACCTTTGAACCAGGGTCTAAAGTTCACCTTTCTGTGGGAACAGATTCTTAACCTATTTATATTTTTTTCTTCATAGTTCAACCTTTGGCCCAGAATCAAACATCATGCCGTTTTGGGGGTACATCTGAAGATTTTGAGCCAACCCTACACATTCTACCTAGTGCTTATCCGACTGCATAAGCTTTACCATTGCTGTGCTAGTTGCACAATACTGACATGGACTGCAGGGCACACAGTAAGAATTACGAAGTGTCTCAGCCAGTGGGTGTTCAGGTACCCGTATGGTCCTGTAAATGTAGGTTTGCAGCGTACGGCAAACCGTAGTTATCGCAGACAACCGAGCAGCAGGCGAATGCCACGCGCGTGGCTAGGCGCGCAACAATGGGGGTGTCTGGCATGCAATGGCGGGCAGCCGTACTGGGGAAAGCCCAGGCCGCAGTACGAGTACGCCCATATGCGCGGGCGAGACTACCCCATATTTGCATAAAGGTATCAGCGCTACTAATGCAGTGTTTACTACAAGCAGGGCTCATGGCGCCTAATCTCTATATTGGGAAGTAGTTCCTTTCATGGCACGAAAGGACTCCAGCGCGCGTACCAAGCCTCAGCCAAGGTACAGTACTAACCGAGTACGCAAGATAGAACAGGCGGTGTGGCGGAGCAAACATACCACATATGGAAGAGGCGAAGTCCCCGGATGCCGCCCGGTCCACAATGACAGACACCATCATGCTTATATGGGAAATAAGGCGCGAGAGCCCACCAGGTAAGGCGGACCGCATAAGCACGTGGCAAGCGCAAATAGCGTAAGACGTACCCACGAGGCCACAACGCGAGAGTACGGCAGCATGAGCAGAGTACGAGAGTACGATGCCGGATCAACGCAGTGCGGACCAAGGTGTGGTAGTGCCACAGCACGAGGCACCTCAGCAGTTGGAGGTGGCGAACGCAGGGACAGCATCAATATTGGCAGTTATCACATATCAGGTGACCGTTTCCTAGGAATGGACCAATCACTGCCCTTCCTTGGCGGGTGATATAGGCCGATATCACCCCTGCTGCTCCATATCACCCCTGCTGCTCCATATCACCCCTGCTGCTCCATATCACACCCGGCTGCGTACCTAGTACAGTACCCATTGGTACTCACATACTCGAATGCGTACTGTAGCTGAAACTGCATACCGGTAATTAGGATTTCACTGCCGTCGCCAGCCCCCTCCCCCCCCCCCCCTCCCCCAGGCCCTCCTTCGGCCAGCTGGCTTGGGATTGTGGGAGGGGGTCTATGTGGGGGGGGGGGGCTAGTGACAACAATGAATTCCTTACGTATGCAATTCCATCTATAGTACGAATCCAAGTTGACCTACCATGAAGAATGACAAGGCCGAGGGTAAGCACAAACAGAAACTTACCATTCTTCTTATAGCTTGTCCTTATCGTGTCCTCGTGAGAAAAATGGCTAGCTTTGATTTGGGCGTTTGTGAAGGTGACTTTGAAGATCAAGAGCTTTTAGAGGCTGCTGCAAATTATTTCAATTTTTTATCACCCAGCGAATTAGCCGAAGTGTCTGATTTTTCTTTATCATCGACCGCAACTGCAACTTTGTCGAATGGCGAAGTACTGGAGAAGACCACCACGGAAAAACGTGTAACATCCGAGCAAAGTATTGTAGAAGAAACGTCTCAACGATTTGTGCAAGTGTCGGAGGATGAGATCGACAGAATCCGAGAAAGCCGTGTTCCAACCAACACGAAGCGAGCCACCAACAACTGGCTACGTGTCTTGGATGTTTGGTGTACAGTGAACAAGAAAAAGTGTGATCTGAAAACCATTTCAGCTACTAACCTTGCCTCAATCCTAAAGCATGCATATGTGGAAATCAGGCAGATCAACAAGCTTCCATGCTCCAAGAACAGTTTGCTGTAATTCCGCAGTGCTATTCACCGCCAGCTACAAGACCTCAAGCGTAACATCAACCTATACTCTGATCTAGAATTCACCGAAGCCAACCAAGTCCTAGATGGCTACTTGAAGCAGATGAAGCGCGACGGCCTAGCAACCCCGACTCAACACAAGCCACCGATCTCCGACGAAGACAAAGACAAAATCTACAGACACCTAGAAGACTGGAAAAACAACCCCGAGCATCTCACCTACCTTGTCTGGTTCGTCATCACATATCACTTCTGTCTCAGAGGTTCAGAGATACAAGCGCACCTGACAGCTGATGACCTGGAAGTGAAAACAGACCGACAGGGAAAGACGTACATCACATTGGCCACAGCGTTTACCCAGAAAAACCAACAAGGTGGGATCAAGGGAAAAGATACAGTGTCGGATGGCATGATTGTGACGGATTGGCAAGTGGAAGCCGTTCTGCTTCTGATTTCGAAGCTGTCTCCGAAATCAACACGCTTGTTCCAGATCCCTAGGAAGCATTGTCGACCTAACGACTCAGTGTGGTACACTGGACAGGTGTTTGGCAAAAACAAGATTGACGGGCTGATGAAGAAGCTCAGCGAATCAGCCAACCTGAGTCAGACCTACACTAACCACAGCGTACGTGCAACAGCCATAACTACATTGGCCAAGCACAACGTCAGTGTCCCAACAATAATGCGAACGTCTGGCCATCGCAACGCACAGAGCCTAACAGCTTACTTGCAGCCTAGCGAGCAAGATAAGATTGCTACAGCTCACCTGCTCGATGCGGAGGTTGATAAAGCTCTCCAGGAGTCAACTCCTGCGGAATTGGAAGCCTTGGAAAGGCCACAAGTACCACCAGCCTTGCCAGCCTCATCGTGTGTCACTTCGGAGAACAGCGCAAAGTTCATCTTCTCCGGAAACTTTGCAGGCGCTGTTCACATCCACGTTCATGATGTCAAAGCCTGTGAGCAGCGCTAATTCTCAGATACAGTGCAGTATAGTGCTTCGTTTTCATCATCTTCTCTTCTATCTCTATTTCCCGGGACTCTTTTACATTGATGTCCTTTCACTTCTGCTTAGACTTCAATTAAAACAATTCAAAGCTTTGAATATTTCTGTCCCGCGAATGATGTGTCAGACGGGGGTGAATGGGTGTGGCATCGGAGAGGGTCTCCACATAATGTGATGTCCCATTCAGTTCAAAGGGTCAAATCTACTACATGTACAGTAGTGGGTAGTACTACAATTGTAGTATCATGTTTATGTTTATGGACTCGATGTACACAGGGTTGTGATCGAATCCATGTGTTCAATGCATTCTAGGTTGCTAACATAACAAACCAGACCAGACACGGTATGGACTCATGATTGTATGTAGGTGTGAACAAGTTAGTTTCTGGAAATGTTGTGGTGTTTGGTTTCCGCCCAACATTGTCGATCTGCATGTTTGCACTAGCGTGCAGCTGAACCAGCGCAGCCGAACCAACGTGCCTTGCAATGCTTTGCTAGGCTTTTCTTTCACTGTATCTTTTTGGTCACATATAATACCGTACACTTTTCTTACTCAACAGAATCTTAGAACGAAGAAGGAACGGTCGGTTGTTGTCTTTGGCGGTGTGTCGGATCATAGTGCATGCTACTAGGCGCCATTCGGTTACAGCACTTTTTGGTGCCGAAACCCGGGACTCAGGAGTTTGTGTTGTAACTCGGATTAGTCGGGCGAATTGGGTAGCAGTGCGAGATGGCCAAAGTCGAATGCTTCTTGAGACTGTTCCGCGGGGGTCGGGACGACCTGAGCGAATTCTGGGCGAAATTCTCAGTTGTCGCGGACTTGCAGAAGTGGGACTCGGACGAAAAGAAGATGGCGAATCTACCGCTCTATCTCGAGGGTGAGGCGTTCACCGTGTGGAACGAGATGGCGGCAGCGGATAAGAAGAAGCCGGCCGATGTGAAAGCGAAGCTGACCGCCGCTTTTGGGATGGCACCGGATCAAGCATACTCGATGTTTACGTCCAGGATCTTGCGAGGAGACGAGTCGGTGGACAACTTCGCAGCGGACTTGAAGAGGCTTCTCACCTTGTCTGGTGAGCAGGTTGATGCTGATGGGAAGAATAAAATAGTGATCGGGCAGTTTCTCTCCGGGCTCCCCTCTCAGTTTGCGAAGGAGCTCCGTATGAGTGGAAAAACGGACACCATCGACGATTGCGTGGAGTACGTCAGGCGGCTTAGAAGCGTGGAGCGATCGATGAAGCCCGGTGTGGCAGTAGTGAGCTACGGTGCTCTAGACGATCGGGCTCCATCAGGCTCTTCCAGGATGACCGCTGCAGCAGGTGTAGGTCGCGACTCCGCAAGACGTGTCCTGTGTTACAAGTGTGGTCAAGTTGGCCACTTCAAGCGGAACTGCCCTGCGAGCACGAGTAGTGGTACCGGTAGCCACAAGCAAGCCAAACACAGTCAGCTGACGTGTTTATTCTGCGACGAGGCTGGGCATATGATGAGAGATTGTTCGGAGTTCAAGGCCTTCAAGCAGAAGAAGCAGCGGGGTGGGAGTGCAGCCGCTGCTCCTGTGCACTCTGGTGATCATGGTGACTCCAAGGTGTTATGCCTGAGCAGTGGAGGTGACAG